GGCGTCGTGTGTTGGGCGGACAGATCGACCACGAGGGGCGGTTTTTGTCGCTTGTACATGTGTGGACGTGACTGACACTTAGTACGGCATTCCTGAGCCATTCGCGACCTCGCTATTATTCCTGCCATCTAAGCTACATGACGGAGAATAACATACAGAGAGAAAAAAGCGACACCATGATATTCCACGGATGGCAACTTGTTTCCGTAGGGTGGTGATTAACGGTGAAATGCCGGAGCTGAGCAGCACAGCCGCCATCACCGTTTTCGTGGCTTAGTTCTGGGGGTGGGCCGCCGCCAATTTTGTCATTTTCTGGTGCACCAGGCGTTCCAGACATGCTTGCCCTTGCATGTTTGTGCCGACTGAAGTACCTGGTGGGTATCTGCACTTGATAGGTACCTTCATTGCTTGTATCTACACACTCATCTGTATGTACCCAAGTACTTCAGCAGTGAACTCCTGCTTTCCAGAACCCCTGCACCAACGGTTTTTGGAAGCCGACAAATATCGGTCCGAGCGAGCTCGCTCCATGTGCTCACCTCCACCAGGCATGGCTTGTCAACGTTGGAATACACATCATCATGGCCACAAAGTAGGATTCAGGGCCCCGAAAATACGTAGTTGCGGAGCGCACTCCGTATTCTGTGCCGCGGCCGCCAAGCTACTCTCTATAAAGTAAATGGAACATGGCTATGTGCTGTAGTACATACTCTTCCGTAGTAAATAGTAAATCCCAAACACGCAATACTTGTGGGTGCGGCCCTGTCTTTGTCGTATCGCATATTGAATGCGGCATCTTCTCAGCCACGCCTCCGATCCTAAACACCTGGACACCGACTTGTGCAATCGTGCAATCCTGGCGGGCTTGAAAAGCTGTGTCTCGCCAAGAAGTCATCACCTCAAGACAGTCGATCCGTCGGCAGTAAAGTTAGAAGACCCTCGGGACAAGGACGGTCACCGATGAACTGGACAGGTGGCGCTGGGATCTCCTGCCGCCCTTGCGGTGTGTTCCCCGAGGCATTAGTGGAAGCACGACTATTAGGTCTGGTGTGTTTTGTGGGTCGAGGACGTTGACTTGAGAAGTCAATATTGTAAAAGAGTAATTTTTTTTTTTTTTTTTGATGTTTCTTTCCTTTCTCTCTCTGTGTCCTCCCCCCTGGTAAACTTGATTCAAGCATTGTCAAGAAGCATTACGGCTTTTCGACTTTGCATCGTGAGTCAATCAAATATAGGAACATAGAGACACGCGCGCGCATTCAACGTTGTGCCGATCGACCAAAGTGAGGGAATAATATACGTGCCCTTTGCTCACCATCCCCAATTCCGGACTTTGGGTTACGTCAAATGTTCTGTGCATTCCCGCGCAGAGCCTACCGTTGACCTGCCACATATAATAGTTACATAAGTACTCGGTATGTAGGAGGCAAGTAGCGTTCAGAACGGGCTTGTGCGGCCAGGCAGTACTCCGCATTGCACGTATCTACTTACTAGGTGGGTAGCTTCAATGTTCCCCATGTCTGCCTGGGCCAGGCACTGGAGCGCAACGACATCTTGACTACCTAGTACATGATGAATTCTTGCCTCATCATAGCATTGCAGTTTATTGTGCTACGTGCTACGTGCTCATGCTCAGGACCGGATGAGGATGCGATGAAAAGGGAATGGCGGCCGGTTGAAGTCGTTGAAGTCGCCTCCTTCCACCAGCTGCTTCGGACTAATCGCACCCCCCATCCATTAGCATCCCTGTGTAAAATATGACAGAAAACTACCACCTCGTTGGGGATCTTCAAGTTTGGCGAAATCGACTCTGATTTGCTTAAATACGACTGCGCAACCCGAGATCCCGAACCATTCTACCGGTATTGAACATGAGTAGCACAGGGATGAGCCCTCCCTGGCCTGGGACATGTCTTGTGCAACCAATCCAGTCCGGCGGATGGGGGACCGGGGGGTTCAAACCAAGACAACAGAGTTGCGAGGCTGTTGGTGCCGCAGATCATTCTTAGCTTGTCAACTGGTCCTGGTACTGGTACTGGTAGGTATGTGAAAACTCGCCCTGTGTTGTACGGAGTAGCCTAGCCCAAGGCTTTAGGGCCCTCGATTCCGAGCAACTACTTTGCGCAGAGCTGTTGTAACGTTGACATCTTATGCCCACTAGAACTTACATGGAGCTGAGACTTTCACTGTTCTTGAACGGACTGGGAGAGAATGAGATACAGTCTAGACGGATGTTGTTAGGATTTCACCCAACGATTGCAACAGGCCAGTGTACCCTTCCTTCAAATCCGACGGCGCAGTAATGATTTGCAACAAGGTGCATCGTCATTGCAGACAAAACATGGCATCCTCTGTGTCATCCGGAAAAAAAAAAAAAAGCCTAAATAATATGTGCTTCAGCAACCAGCCATCAATAGCATGTCCGGAAACTGCAGCATGCTACGGAGAGGCAGCGATCGCGTTTCTCGCTTGACAATCTCAAATTCGATCGCAAGTTGGCACATTGAAAATGACTCGGAACATACGCATACAGCGACCATGCCTGCTCTATAGTGAACTAATCCCTACTATCCTCCCAGGAACAATGAGATCTGCCAACATTCTCAGCTGGGAGAAGCTTTCTGGTCCTATTCCGAAACTCTCGGCACCGAGCATTGTTACCAATTTCGGAGCGCTACAAGAACCATATGACACCATGACGGGCGCCGAACTTTATGTTCCTGGGAATATATGGATGCTTCTCGACGCCTTGCAGTACCACTGTATGTTTTGCTTTGCTCGACAAACCCGGGCAACCCAGAAGCTTAACGTCCTCTCACTTAGTGGCACAAACTCAAAATGCAGCCACCGTGTTATGGTGGTCCGATTGAATACAAATACACAAGATAAGGTTAGCTGGCAATGAGGCATAGGGAGAATACGAGTGTCTGGATTGGACGCGTATAAATTTGAAGGCTATGCTCTCACCAGGCCCGCTCAATATGGTTGCTATGGCAATGCGTTTGACAAGTACTCAACTCGAACTCTGAAGTCAGCTTTCGCATAATGAGGCTCATCAATTGTTAAGGTGGGTCGACCACCTGGTGCATGCCATTTTGTGCCATCTCGACATTTCGCCAAACGAGGGACTGATTGGGAGGAATCACGCCACAAGACAAACATTATAAATTGAATTGGTGGCTTCTCCATGCCTGCCGGGAGCGAATACCTGGAAGTTTTGACCCGCTCCTATTAAGTATACCTGAGACTCGAACATTGCGGCAAGCTGCTGTGCTGAGATAGTAGATTCCAAGCCAAAGGGACTTGCTTGTTTTCCCTCCCTTCTTCTTTTGCTGTTCTCCCCTTTTGTGTTTGACGTTTCAGTCTTAGAGTTCAGGATAGTAGGAAAGTCATGGAAAAGATGACAGCTAACACCGAAGTTCTGATTTTTGACTACAATGTTATTGGGATGTAGCAGGGCGTAACAAAGCCCTTTGTATCGACTCCAATAGGCAAACCACGGGAACGATGAATGTAGCACAGGCACTCCAATTTGAATAGCAGCATGGCTGATGCTTCAATGAAAACTTTTCCTCCCCGGTACTTCAAGGACATATCTGTTCCAATGTGTCATTCACCTTTTCGTACCCCCTACTTATACGAAGTCTGCCAGCTCAGACCTCTGTTCATCCTCTAGCGGACTGGCCTAACTTTCAGTAATTGGACTAATAATATATAGATGCCTCTGCCTCTGCTTTTTGAAGATTTTCAGGTTGTATTCCGCCCTTTAGTTGACTTCTTGACGAGGCAAAGACGGATCTAAAGAATACATACACTTTGTCCTTGCCATTGAAGCCCTACATCCAGTAAGTCCCATGGGAGAGTCATCTTTGTGTAAAGGGATTGCGTGGACTCTACAACGAGCACTGGAAGTCGTCGTAACAGTCGTAAATGGCACTGCAGATATGTCATGACGGTTATCGGGTTCGACCGTTGGGTCATAGAGCTAAAAGATCCAGCAATAGCGGCCCTTGACCGAATAGCCCCGAGATCTAGCCTATAATTGTGCCTTCTTGGCGCTCTCTCTCTCTGTCCTCTGTGTGTGTGTTGGTTGGTTGCTTGGAGGGGTTTTTTCCCTGGGGGGGTTTCTTGACAACATTGAAGTTGTTTTGACATGCCTCTACGGCGAAAAGTAAACACAGTGCGGAGTAAAACAAAAGCTTGGTATTACATGCCCTTGAAGGCGGAAATAAAAGTCTACGATATAAAGAGGTCTTTAATTCAGCTTGCAAATTACTAAACACTCGATTGGCTGTGACGGTACGAATCAGAGTTTGATTGGCCTAGTTTCCAAAAATGGGTACTTCGCCACAGTTGAATATTTTAAACAACGAACAATAATCTGCCGAGCTCTGTGTATGTATGGCTAGGGATGTATACAGAAAATATGGAAACTTTGAAAAGAAGATAGTTTGCCACGACGGACCAAAGTCTCAAGCTAAGTCGAAAGCCGGGATCCACGACTCGGAATCACAGGCACATGTCTCGACTAGAATAAAAAGGCGATTTAGTACGTTCCGACAGATGGAAATCCAAAAGAACTCAGAGGAAACAAACAGCCCTAAGGAGTAAGAGTCTAGGCTGCAGCCTGGACAAAATTTCAACATCACGAGAACCCAATAGAGACGTAAACCGATACCGCCAACCAACCAAAAAAAAAAACGATCATCAAGTAGGAGAAGCTGCAAGCTGTGAAACGTTTTGTCAATATTTGCTCCAGCTCCAAACGATAAACTAGCGTCGTGGCTTTAAATATAATGTACACACTTGGATGCGACACCCATGCTCATTTACGTTCATTTATGCTTGATGAAGCACCTTTTTTGTGTCTTCCTCCTTACCCAGCAGTCCCAAATTCCGTATTTGTCTGGCGCTCGGGGCATCGTCTCGAGGTGTCGCAGCTTCTGATCTGGCATACGCCGCTTTCATTGCTACGGCTCTAGCATGCTGCATACTGTTAGCGTCTACAACGCTTGAGTGTTTCCGGCACCAACACAGACCTCTTTCTTGTGATGTAAACACTCGTAGTAGTCCTCCAGCCCGGGCGAGCATTTTTTCTTCCCGTTATCGTCCTCGGCGGTGGTGTTGACGACGTAACATGCCATGACTTCTTGCCAGAAGGGAAAGCAGCGTCCAACGCCTGTGAGCGATTGCGGTCAGCCACAGAAGGAAAAAGGGTTGATATCGGATGTTGGAAACATACCGCCATGCATTCCATATCCCGACGCCATGATGAGCCAATATGTCGTGTTCTAGGACGTTCAAATGTGTTGCCGAGTTTGTTTGCTGGGGGGTCATTTGAAGTTCAGTTGAGGATCAATCACGACCAGTACCAATGGTATCCAATTGGCTGATTGTCGGGGGCATCCTGCTTAATATAAAGTACTTGAGTACAGGTTTAAAGCATCTGCAGTATAGTGTACCTGCTGATAGTGAGCCTTGGCATTCTGGCGGGTCTGCCTTAGTGCCGCGTTAGATGCATAACATCGTACCTAAGCTTTAGAAGCCAGTTTCCACTATAGGCACTGGGCATTATGTATATACACTTATCACTCACTGCCCTCGTATGTGATGTCAAGATCCAAGACCATGAACGGCGAGCAGCGGCCAAGCGACAGGCTTTCATTATAAGAAGACACACAACCTGGAACTAAACGCTTCAAAATATAATACGGTGAATGCTCAGCGCAAAGCCCCTTTTAGTGGGCAGCGTTTTCCCCACCATGGCAAGCACTTTGCACCCAGCGAAGGTGTTACTCCTGGCTGTTCACTTCGCGCAACATGCCGACATTGATAGTCTCTCGATTCTAATCAACACTCATACAACTATCATTCACGACGAAATTTTACTGCGCATCCTGCTAACCCATCTACCGGAGACTGTGAGACCAGCCACCTATATTGGTTTCTTGCAAAAGTTGGTTGATCATAGCTTCGAGCCGTGCCAACTCACCGGATTGGATACGTCGCCAGTCAACAGTATAGATGACAACGAAGCGGTGAAGAGGGCTACAAAACTTCATCTACTGCCACTAATATGCCGGGATCCATCCGAGATCGCCCAGGGGGACGCACTCAGCCGCTTTCTGTTTCTGAGAATCCATCAGATGAATGAAGAAACTGGGATGCTCGCCCAGTTGCTTGATCTACTTTTACCATTTGGACGCCACAACCCTGGCATACATAAATGGGCAATGTCCACAGTAGTGCCGTATGTACGAAAAGGTCTACAATTTCGCGCCGGAACATCACCTGCATATTCTTTAATCGAGTTCGAGAAATTGCCTGATCACCAGGCCGTTGACTTCCTGTTGTGCCCAGCTGATTCTCGCGCTCAACCAAGAGAAAATATTGATCGTGACCTGAGGAGTATTATAGGGCCATGGGTCTATGATACAGATCGATGGGATAGTTCCTCAGAGGATGGCGAGTCAAAGGTTTTCTGTCCCGGTTGGCACCAAGTTTGCGAGTGGTTGCTATCTCAGGCCACCCTCTCATGGCCAACTGCTGTTCAGGCCATCGAACGTTGGAGTGGTCCAGAGGATGTGGAATTCGTTCACGGAATAGCACTCGACCTCCCAGCTGCGCACAAGTATTATCTTAAGCAGACATACGCTACAACCGTCTTGGCTTGTGTATATACTGTGCAGGACACTACCTTGGAGTCCTTAAGAAGGATTCACTCCATACTGATGAATCTTAGAGTATATCTTGGCCTCGACGGTGGCGCGATGTCCCTTGAGCAAACAATGAAAGCCCTACCTGACTTGTCTTTCACAGATATGTCAATGTTTCACAATGATCGAGTCGCGACTTATATGAGGAATGATTTATTGGGACGGAACAACCCACTTACTAGACCAAGTGAAGATGCCACAAATCTTTCACTCGCTCTCACTCGAAGTGCTTACATCTTGACCCTTTTTGGTTCCCCCTCTTCACTGAGGCGCGTTGGAGACCTCATATTTCTCCATGACGAACGGGATCAAAAGTCTGAAATTTCGAAACTTCTGAGGACCATTGCAGCCCAAGCATCCAAAGAAAATGACGACTTTCTACTAAAGGCACGAGAATTCCTGCTTTGGCTACGGGACTGGGGCAATGGCACTGCTGGCAAACCTAATGCTGGAGCGGCAACAGCTGGTGCTCTTGGCATGTTAAGTAAGGAATATGTGGAAGCAGAGTTTTTGAAGTTATTATTGTCCAGAGAACGTATGTAACGACTCGAACCAGTTGTTTCCAGTACATTGGAACTTGCCAGTTAACTTTGACCAGGCTATAGCCTTGCGCGCAATTTGTACGATGATGGAGGGCCTGTACGTCTTCCAGTCGAGGTTGTACAGGATTCAGTTTACGACTCGGCTTTGAGTGCTTTCGACAATGCCACGAACCCGAATAGGTCCCGAGGAGGGTTGAAAAGATGCGATGAAATGTAGGTACGATGATACAATCTCACGGGCTACTGAGCTAACCACAAGTAGCATTCATGCCTTACCCAAAACCGTGGGCCTGTCGCTGCCAGGGACAAGGCGGATAATGGCGCTCTTGAAAGCCACTCACGCATTGAGTGACTATCGCTTGGTTCTTAAGCAAGGGGAACCCTTCAGTCCTGTAGTTCTCAGGGTACACTCCGATCCGATATTCATTATCGAAAAGGTCTTGGAACAGAATCCTCGAGCCTATACGCGCCTCCAGGAGTTCCTGGAAATGGGCATGAACATGGTTAGAGCAGGTTTACTGTCCTATCGCAAGCTAGATCCTTCTACAATATTGACAACTGATTCGGAACTAAATCTCGCTGTCGATATTGCAGAACGACGCATAACAGCAATGTGTATTGAAGCTGCTTTGAAGGAAGATGACTTTGAAACCGCATACTCCTATGTTGCCAGTCGTCTAAGCATGCAAAGTCCCGAAGACTCTGATGCTTCGCCCTGGCCAGTCGTGGATGAATGGTCTTGGAAGGCTGCGCTGCAGGCTGGTCAATATATTCGAACAGAGCGTTCACAACAACCAACTCATTTAGGTACGGCAAGCGGCAATCTTGAGATACGACACCTTGAGCAGCGTATTGAGTGCCTCGCCACCGCGCTGCGAGTGGCGCCAACGAGTCAGCTTCAGGAAATCCTCAAGAGCTTTCGGCGCTGTGAAGAGCAACTTGATTCGGCAATTAAAGAGGAAGCGGCCAACGAGTTGGCCTGGGGTGAAGAAGCCAGGGTTGACAACCTTCCAGGAGCTTTCGATCAAGTTAATGTTGAGCAGCAGTATCCTGTTAGGAATATGACTGCTAGTGCAGCAGCTCAACAGACAGAGGAAGCGCCGATGTCTCTATTTGACCTGTCTAGAGCAACTGCTCGCGCCGCTCAGCGCAATTTCACTGCTATTCCAAGCCTACAAAGCATCAGAAGGGGCGTTGATGCCAACAACAATGAGCATGAAGGAGAGTCACTCTCACGAATCCGTAAACGAGATCAGCTTCGTGAAGCTGCGACTGGGACGCTGGTGTCTGGGGTTGGGTGGTTAATCGGAGCCAATGTCGGCCAAAATAAGAAAGAAACTGGCTGATGAATATATATGTATATTTAGATTGCTTTGAATTTTCGACCCCAGATGACAATTGTCGATCAAAGACAGGAGCAGTATTTAACTGAGTACCTGCAGTGGGAGATTAGACTGAACGCAACCTATGCAACTGGCAGTCTAGTCATTATTTTGCTCCACATTCACATAGTCCCAAGCGCATCGAGCATTTCATTACATGTTCACCATATAGCTAGGTGCCGTAGCTGTGGACAAACCGTGCTATTTATGATGTCGTGCGCGTAGCGTGATTTCCACCAACATAAAAGCGCTAGGAACATTCACCTGAGCGGCAGCCACTCCGGATTGCCCTCGACGGAAAGGTGCGTTAAGGGAATCGTACTATGTACGCCTTGTGACGTTGCCAAGCCGCCGAGCTCGCGTGTTGAAAACTCAATTAACTCAACTTTGGACGTGTCCTTAATATCAGTGCAGTATAAAAATTCAGCCAGTTCTGTCTTTCTGAAGGCTTTCCTGTATTGGCTGAGCAAATGGGGTTGGTCCACCACAAAATAGAATAAGTTGTGGATGTAAACTATGAATATTAGGCGTAAACCAGGATGACGCGTCTTGAGAAATGGACAGCAATTCCTGCGCGAACAGCAAACGAATTAGCAATGAACAGATCAAAAAGACGGCTCACAAGTAAAGGAAGAAGCCCTGGAAATGACTCAGCTCTCTTAGCACCTATGATTCAGTACAAGCACGAGCTCTAGACTCTGTTAGAACCGAATGTACCATAGCACAAAAAATGAGGATATCAATATCGGGTTCCTCTTGCCAAGGGGAAACCCGAGAAATCAAACATAAGTATATTGGCGGCAATACGTCATGACGTGGCGGTTGGTGACACGGCGATTACAGTACTATTTGGGTGGCGTTTCGAATGGCGGCATTTTCACGATTCATTCCGAATTAATCGAAGCCAGAGCGATTTTAACAGAAGTATGCGACTTTTTAACGTTCTCAGAGACTGAATACCGATAGTTGTGATCCATTTAGTTGGCAACGCCAATGTGCGATATTGTTTCATGATACTGATACATGTAGCTGCACGACGCAGCGTGACGTTGTCGATTGCGAAGCCAAGAGCCCATTGGTTTACCTGGCCAATTGCTTTTGCCGATGGCTTTGGGTTGTGCCGTGTCGCCAAAGCTACCAAAATCTGCCGTGCGATGTGACAGGCGATACGAGACTGATTCTGCATTGCTTCGGGTGCTGCCTCATGTGGTCCATCCGAAAACCCGTTCGTCCCATAAATGGCCAGCAAAGAAAAAAACGAAACGATATAAACAGTGCGAACAGAACCGAAGGAAATAGGCAACAAAACCAGGATATAAACCCCTGAGGTGAGGACCGAAAACATAGTAAAACATGTAAGGCAACTGATAACACATCCCCTTTCTTAACAGTTGCACCTGAGGGAAGGGTTTTGGTGGGACCAGGACCTAGTCTCTGGTGTGCACTGTGGTTGAACGAAAGATCTCAAAAAAGAGTTAGGGCCAGAGAGGGCAAAGAAGTGACGTTCAAGACTGCAGCACTGAATGGCATTTGACCCATGGGTAAGAGGGTGTACCAAGGCGCTAAGACATCCGACTTCACCGAGCAGATGGATCAGCTGTTACGAAAGTCAGCAGTGGTCATTGTTTATGACAGTTTTATCACGAACCCCCATATGCATCGCGGGCCTCAGATCGGGGACCCGAGTCTCCGTAGCCAGGAGCCCCAGCAGCTGTTTCTCGCTCCCTTGGCGCGCCACGCTCGGCTTGACGGTCGTATCGATCACGGTCGTACCCACCGCCGGGACCACGAGGTCCATATCTGTCACGGTCGTCGCGCCCTCCATACCGTTCCCGACCATAGTAATCATCACGTTCCCGGCGTTCGTGCCCTCCACGCTCGGCGTCTCGAGCATAGTTGCGGTCGTCGTATCGGCGATCATCTCTATAACCACGGTCATAGCCACGATCATAGCCACCGCGGTCATAACTACCACGATCATCATGCCGACGTTCGTAATTTCGCTCGTATCCGCGATATCTATAGGAGTCATCACGTCCGTAGCCACCGCCGCTGCCGCCGCCGTAGCCACCCCGACGTCGGTCATCAAAACGAGGACGGGGATCTTATTATATTCATTAGTCGGTGCAGGCTCAAAGGAGAATTCATTCATACAACTACTCACCTCGTTTCGGCGGACCGAAATATTTGCCTGGAGTAGGCGTGCGGGGACGAGCCCGACGGGCCTTCTCAATGCTTAGAGTGCGACCTTCAATTTGTTCTCCCTGCAGGCCCTCTTTTGCGGCTTCAGCCTGCTCTGACGTAACCATTTTGACAAAACCAAATCCACGGGATTCTTTAGAGTGCGGATCGCGCATGATCTGACATTTTTCGACATCTCCATACTTCTCGAACATTTTGGAGACCTCAGCCTCGGTTAGGCGAGGATGGATGCCAGTTACGAATAGGTTGGAACCAGGGTTGACGGCACCGTCATCATCATCCTTGGAACCGGAAGGCTCTTTTGGAATGCTGTGAGACGATCGAAACCAAGTCCGACAATGTAAGCATAGGAACACCTTACTTGAGAGGCGAAACGTTTATTGCTAGCGAGACAAGGGTATTACTTACGCATCGGCATTTCCATTTGGTGACGCTGATCGACGACGTCCGCCATCGTTCTCATCACGGGGCGGTCGAGGTGAGGCGCTTCTGTTGTCACGATCGTAGCGGGGCGCATCGTCTACCCCCAAAATCAAGTGTTAGCCAGAGCTTGCATGCGCGCTCGTGCTAGGCAAAGCGTCATCTTCTACGTGCGCGTTTGTTTGCAGTCCAGCTTACCGTCGTAGCGATCACCACCGGCGGCCTCGTAATCCATCGAGGTAGTTGCCATGATAGAAATACAAGGAACGTCGGGGTTAATTAAGAAGAAAAAATAACAAGATGAAGGGGCACGAGTGTCCAGCGACGAAGGATCGTCAGCGTGTTGATAGATGAAGTTGTGAAGAGCGTGCGAGCTCAAGCAGCGTGACGAGGAAAGAAAAAAGACAAGGGCAGGATGGCTGAGCGGGAGCTCTGACTGGATGGAATTTGCAAAAGAGAAGGGAAAGCCGATGATTAGGCGGCTGACCACTCACAGCCCGTTCCGAATCCAGCCACACACTCAATCAAATGTGTTGCAACACTGCCGATGAGTTGACCGCGTAACTGTACTCACGTTAATGCTTATCCATTTCGTAGTTATGGTTCAGTTTCCTATACTAAGGAGGGAGTCGAATTATCATCATGGGCATATCGCCAACACGATACTGGAAAACAGCAGTTCATCAACCCCAACCCAGGGTTCCATTGCGCTTGCAAAAAGTTGCTAAGGACGCTTTCTGCTTGCCTCTGAAATCCCTACCGGGCCTCAATTACTCGTTCGCAAATCCTGGTTTCCCAGCGTTGGTTGGCATAGTCTATCAGACCTTCTCTTACTCAAGCGATTTAATTGGGGTCACGCGAGAGCTCACTATTCTTGGAGCTTCACAAATACGACGGAATATAAATGTAGAAGGTCTTGTGGTTAATAAACTAAACATATTGACGTCTTGTTTTGTAACTGAAGGCCCCTTGCGATCCATGTCTCTGCATCGCCAACATGAAACCGACCACCACCAAAATAAATTCTTGACCTGTCCCTGTGGGACCTGCACTGTCAAAGAGCAGAGAGGCACAACTCATCGGAACAAGGTCCCGCTGGCATGGATGAATTTGGAGGATAAATAAGTTGCGGAATTGCGACAATATTATCTCAACTTTGCAGGTCAACTACCAGACATCTTCGGGATCTACTTCATGACTCTCGCCATCGCTTCGGATATGCTTGCGATCTCTGTCCCTTTTCATAGGCTTCCGCATGTCGAACGCATCCTCGCCAGCCTGGGTTGAATCTGTCGCATGGTCGCCATAGTAATCTTTGACTACCCGGAAGACGCTGTAGCCTAAACTTTTGTAAAAGGCAATTGCTCGGTGATTACTCCTGCGGACGAACAAGTCCACAAACCAGGCATCATTGTCATCTGCAGCCGTTTCTAACTGGTCTGTTAATATTTTACCGATTCCCAGCCTCCGAGCTTCCGGTGCCACAGTCAGAGCAGTAATATGTGCGTGCCAAGGGAGGTAATGCTCCGAATACTTGTAGGTATTGGGTGACGACTCAACCTTGCCCATGACTGGAGCGACCAAAAACATTAGCCAAAGAAATATATTTAGTCCGAACACAACCTACTGTAGCCGATAATATTCCCGTCTTTGTCTTCGCACACTTGGAATAGAGAGGGCCATTTGGCAAAGTACTGCAAGTAGAAACCCAACTCGTATGTTTCGGTCAAGGGATCTAAGTTGCATTTTGAGAATTTGTTAACGTCATCAGGACGAAAACGCCGAAAGGTTGCCATGGTCGCTGGGAACTGGCTGAAAATGTCTATGCGGATGTGCAGAGCAACTTGCAATGGTACACGCTGCGTAGAATGCCGATAAGTGCGGTTATTCCATTGACCGACGATGCTCCCGGGCTAAACACCACACCCATATGCCGGAGAAAGACAGGAGTAGCTGCGCCTATGTCGACTGGATGTTGTATTAGGCAGATTCTCAAACGAGCCTGCCGATGTGGTTGTATATGCCCGATAAGGGTGTACTTGAACTGGGCGCTCGAGGCGCGGGTCTTTGTGATGAAAAATTGACCAGCAGTATTTATGCCCGTAGAATTAGCAGTATATATTACACATCTCTATTGTTCAGAGACGCAATAGGTGCTTGAGATCAGCTGAATTGGTGGTCCTGTCAATGCTGTGTGGAAACACGAGGACTTGTTGTCACTTCAGTTTCGACCTCTCTTTTTTCTATGCCCTGCGACAGCGTAGCCTGGTTCTACTACCAACTTGACAACTCTCAATTGGTAGTTGACACCTAGCCTGGCCCCTCAAGGCTCTGGCCCCACACCCCAGAGCCTGATTCTAGACCGCCCCAGCAACTTGGCACTGCACATGCTTGATAGAGCTTCACGCTTTACGAGAGTGAGTCTGGGCAGGGACACGGCACTCGCGACAACCACATTTCTTTGAGCGGAGTCTCGCGCTCTCTGCCATCACCTAGATCGATATTTGGGTGCTGGGGCATGACGATATATGTGTGAGGAAGACGAAGGACGTGCGTTCATTTGTCGACGGTTCCGAAACCTACTTGAGCCATTAGCCATATTTTCGAGCTCTCCAGGCAGCGTTTGCCTAGAGGCACAATGACTCCATCACCGACTACACCACAACACTCGAGAAACTCGTCAGCTGTTGATAGCCTGCACAACTATTCTCACGCACGAAGACAATCCAGATCTTCTATTAATGACCCCGCGACCCCGTTTTCGAATGACCCAAGCCATCAGGATAGCATAGACCTTGGTGTCCTAGCTAGCGGAGGCGCTCCCGGCATGGGAAATTTAGCAGACGAACTTGCTGATGCATTTTCTGACTCAAACGACGACGAGGATGGGGAATATGGGGACCAAGAAAACACTTCACAATCGCGAAACGCTGGAACGCAGGGAGCCACGGCCGACGGTATAGGAGATAAAGGAGCTGGCTACAATTCTACACCGACTAAGGATATTGCCAGTGGAAATGAAAACAGTAGTGGATTGCTTTCGCCACACGGCAGAGGCCACCAGAGGAAAATCTCAGAATACGACGGCAGCGAATATGGCTCTGAGTCAGACCTAGACGCTGCAGGCATGCCGCCAACCTTAATCGCCAAAATCGATGCAATCGAGTCTCTCACTCGGAGGGGCACAGAAAAGTATGGTGGCCCCGGTGATGAAGTATTCCAACGGGTGACAGACGGTCTTCGAGACTTGGGCCCGCAGTCAACTGTTGAAGGAAATGCGTCCAGGTGAGATCTTGCGTTGGACTGGACGTCCGGACCCTACCAGCTGACCAATTCACAGGTTGATAACGGCCCATACAGCTCTTACTACACACCTTGCACACCAAACTCGCCAGCTGCATGGCTTGACATTCCCACTACTGTCTCCCCCGGCACCTGCACCAGATACTGAGACAATTGATAGCTTAGTACCTCTCCTGATTTCTTTATCAGATGACATGCCCAGGCCCTCGACAACAGCCTTCAATTCCCTGACGGCCCTTCACTCTATCACATCGGAATTAATCCAAACCCTGAACTATCTTTCAGACACACTACATATGTCTCGACAAACAACAGTCACGGCAACTAGAAGACTAAAGAGCGCCAAGGAGCTCGTGTCCGAGATGCGACGTGAAGAGGAGCTGCGGGAGGAGGGTGAGCGCTGGTTAACTCGAGGCAACTGGAGTCAGCGTCTTAAAAACAGAGAATGTGCAAACGTTTGCGGGGAGGTAATTGGGGGCTTTGAAGATGTTTGCAACGGCTGGCGACAACGACTTCTTTCGCAGACCGAATCTACCTAGGGTTCACAGGCTTGGGAATGACGAAGTGAGTGTTGCGGCAGAACTCCATTATGATAAAGACAGCTATGTTGCAAAGGGTCCAGAAGGGCTAGTTAATCCCTTCTGGATTAGCAGCCGGCCGTTAGATGGCTCTGGAAGTCGGAAGGTACCCTTTAGCGGATATTCAGCGGTGACGGAGGTATCCAACGGTCGAGGATGCCTACGGTCGGAAGCGGAAAGACCTTTCACACCCATAAATCGTAGGGGTGAAGTGAAGATATAATTGCTTGAACATTGCTATCGCTTCCCGCGCTGAGAAATGGTATTTGATTTTTGTCTGTTCTTATACCCTCCCCAACTAATACCCAATGAGCAAATACTACTTTCTCATGTTTTCACTGATAGAGAAGAAGATGTGCTACAAACTACCTGTCGAGTGTCTATTGTTACCAAAGTTTCTAAGCTCACTTTTTTTCTTTTTCCTTTTCTTCTTCTTCTTCTTCTTCTCCCCCCTTTTTCTCCCCCCCTCTCTCTATCTCTCTTTAGAGTCCACTAGATATATGACGAATACAATACCTGATCCAAAATGCATAGTGAATTGTGATATGCAATGTCCTCCCTGAGTTAACCGTTGCTAACGTAAATTAAGCGTCTGGCTATTCCATAGAGCCCGTCGGGTTTGTCTCGCAAACCGCCAAAGGCAGCAAAACGTGGTTACACAGAGACAGTGACAACGCGGGAATTAGCGGTCTTTCCCCGAGGTTTCAATGGGCGAGGGGTGGCGCCGAGCCTTGCGGATGTGTTTTGCACGCTAAACGCGGCAATGGCGCGTCGCGCGCGTGAATGCTGGCAACGCGTTCGGTTCAAGCCTGCATTATTGCAGCATTTGCGTTATGCAAAATACCTGCCGGCGCATGTGTGGTAACTCTCGAGTCGATGACTTACCTGAGATTATGGAACTCGATGCTCGCCGTGTATTGGGCCTTGTTTTTCTTCAAGCAGCTGATCAATACATTCTCAAATGAGCTTGCGCCGATTCGCCTTCGCACATAGTGCGTGTGCCCAATGAAAAGAACCGAGTGATCTTCCGGCGCGTCCAGCATGGCGGCCAAGGCTTGCATCATGGTCGCCCTAGAAAGGGCCGCGAAGTAAATAAACAAACGATAATCCCAACGCGTTATACTTCGTTTGACGTGCGAAACCTCTTCTCTTACACCCCCGGCATTCGGTCCCAATTACCTGCCATGCGCCGCTTACCACATGCTATGCGTACGTGAATTACGGGGTGAAAAGAATTTAATGGTATGAAGTTCTGACCTAAGGATGCAAAGTGGCTACTGAGGTGGGTACGAGAATTAGCTTTTCAGAAGTTAAATAAAAACAAGAAAGAAGAAAAAATCCCGTCAGTGTTTGATCCAAGTACATGTTTCCACATCGACCTTAGGTGCATACCTACTAGGTACCTAGTAGACAAGGGTCTGGGCGGGCAAAGCTGGCTGGTCGAGGCAATTGTATATACCGCATCATGAACTCATTTAATTAAAGAATATTTGAACTTGCTTCACGACAACACGTGCGCTATATTGGTGTGTTCGCTGCGTCCGAAATCTAGGTGGACCGGAGTTGAACGATTGAAGGTAATTCTGGGCCTTTGTTAGCCGGCTTTCTTTGAACAAGTATACCGGACGGGAGAAGCCAACTACAATAACAAAAACATTGGCTAGGTTGCGACCAGTCGACGTGCCCCAAGATGGGGGCAATATGAAGGGAAAAGGGAGTGTGGCGGGATGCCAGCGCGGGACCCGACCTCCCCGGCCGTTTACTCTTCCAAATCAAGTATAGCGTGACTGGCAATGCTTAGCGCGCCGTCGCTGCCCACCACCGCTCCCTCCCAAGTTTCCAGAGTTCAACTCCCTCAAACAGCCATTTCATATCCATCCACCAAACACTTGGAGTATCTCTTGAGCAAGCTGCAAGATACCTTCCCCCCAGCCTGCAAAGTTCCTCACTGATGTACCCAAGGCTCTGAAACTGGCTTATATCATCATTTCACCGAATGAATGTGCCGATCTATCCTAAGTTACAATTCAATCTAGCCATTTGCTGCAAACAACATCGCTAGTCGTCAGCACATCGTATCCCATCTCTGCTCAACTGGTGACCCCGATAAACAGAGATCCCAAAGTTGCAGAATCTGAGTTGATATAGAGCATCAAACTGGCGATAAGGGCCACCGCGCCCCTCAGCATCCGCCACGCATCGAAGACATTGCTGGCAGGCTGGCAGAGTCCTGGATCTGCCCTCACAACCGACGTCAGCTTCCTCTAGCAGGATCTCAACGGGCTCAATCGGCGTTGTGACCTTGAAAACGGACATCTTGAAGCCCCGAATTCACGCCATATACAATAAAAATGCAGGCAGAGGCTTCGTCTTCCTTGGCTGCTACTCTACCTACCCCTCGGAGCGACGGGTCCAACACGGAATCGGTGTCGGGTCCTGGTCGTATTGCTACACCACCGCCGCCGTCACTGCCTTTGGAAATGAGCCGATCTGAGTCAAAAAACAACCTCGAGAGCGGTAGCAGTAGACGACTGCGCAACAAGATGGCCGCCAGCGAGGTGTTGCGACCGACTGAACTTGATGCCAATGCTGTGGAGAGTGCTTTGCTGCGAGAGCTTCAGCGTCCGCACCGGGAAAGCACTCCAGGTACAAGTCCGCATAGAAAAAGACAAAGAATAAATGGAGATCGGTAAGTTCATTCCTCGCGGAATGTAGTGTGGGTTAAGAATATGCCGCCTTCTAACATCAAACAGGTTCATCCCAACTCGTTCTGGACATGACCTGCAAGCTAGCTTCAGCCTTTTGCATGAAGACGGTTCTCCAGCTACTCCGTCAAAGCAGAAAAAGCGAACCCCCCATGGAGAACTTCATTTTCAAAAGAGTAGGCACATTTCTGCTCCCAGCCAGTATTTACATTGTTAAGACGTGACTGAACTTGTTGTGCTAACGACCGAGTTTGATAGCCGAGGAAGCAAACCGTACTTTCTCTACCCTTCTTCGTGCCGAGCTCTTTGCGAATTCCGTGCCTCAAACAAGCCCTCCAGTCCTTTCTCCCGAAACAAAAACTAGGAATTCGTCCGTAGCACAACCCACTGATGGAACAAGAGCCCACACCCCTCCAAGCAACAGTCTCGCCACATCTCTCCCCTCATCACTCACGCCGTCAACACCTCATAAGAATCTTTTTTCATACATGTCTCCGCGGCATCATGGCCATGCAGCTGGGCATCCTACCCCCTCTAAGACACCCCAGAGCCGGCATGGTCCAAACCTGGATACCAGAGCGGAAACATATAGCCTGTCACCAGTTCGATTCGGCAGTCAGCAGATGCTCCTCAGTCCCCGCCGACAGCCTCGAGCCGTGAGCAAGGTGCCGTACAAAGTACTCGATGCTCCTGAATTAGCCGATGACTTTTACCTGAATCTGGTGGACTGGGGCAGTGCTAACGTCCTGGGAGTCGGTCTTGGGTCGAGTGTGTACATGTGGAATGCTCAAACAAGTAAGGTAAATAAGTTATGCACCTTGGAAGATGATACTGTTACGAGCGTCTCCTGGATACAAAAAGGTACACATCTCGCCATTGGCACTGGCAAAGGTCTGGTTCAGATCTGGGATGCTGAAAAGACGAGGAGGCTGAGAACAATGACCGGTCATACTGCTCGAGTAGGCTCTTTGGCCTGGAACACCCATATTCTTACCTCGGGATCTCGCGACAGGTTAATATACCACAGAGATGTCCGGGCTCCTGATCAGTGGCTAAGGAAATTGGTGGGCCATAAACAAGAGGTTTGCGGGCTGAAATGGAACTGTGAGGATGGTCAGCTTGCGAGCGGAGGCAATGATAACAAGTTGATGGTGTGGGACAAACTATCAGAATCACCTCTGTGGAAGTTCTCAGATCACACCGCAGCTGTCAAGGCTATATCCTGGTCCCCTCATCAGCGTGGTCTCCTTGCTTCAGGCGGCGGTACAGCAGACAGGAGGATTATTTTCCACGATACGGTGAAGGGAACTGTCGTCAACGAAATTGACACCGGAAGCCAAGTTTGCAACATTGCGTGGTCGAAGAACTCCAACGAGATCGTATCTACACACGGATATAGCCAGAATCAGATTGTGGTCTGGAAATACCCGTCAATGACACAAGTTGCCAGCCTCACTGGCCATACATACCGTGTGCTGTATCTGGCGATGAGCCCAGATGGCCGTGTTATTGTTACCGGCGCTGGCGACGAGACATTGAGGTTTTGGTCGGTCTTTGGTCGTCGCCCTGGAACGAGAGAAGAGGGAGAAGCAGGCGGTGGCAAGCTCGCGGACTGGGGCATCATCAGATAATATGGAGACTTCAACATTAACATCGCTGCGATCAGCTTCGTTTGCCCCGGCGACAATACCCAGACTGTCTCATTTTGTGTTTTGCGAATCTTGCCTTTAGAGACAGGCGGGCTTCCTACGAGCATGTTGTTTACACAGGTTTGGTTGGGCGATAAGCGATCGTTGCATTGGCGTATGGCGCATGAATCATAATTTTCGAGACCGGGGGCAATCCGCTTTGTTAAGCTGGTCAAATTTGGCAACTTGTAAAGATCCTATTCCGTGGTTACTCATTACTTTGTAGAACTGGAATGGATCGACGTCTCGACAGGCCGTCGTGGAAGAGACTGCTCTTGGTCATCTGAATACTAGATGGTGGCATGGTGGTTTTCGTGTAGCGGGCATGACATTTACTCAACAGCGTTTATGTTATTAAACATACTTGCCATAGCGTGGATTAAGAAACATTGATGCCTCATACTGATATCATATGATCTTCTTCAGGTATGCTCATCAATGAACCAGGAGACGTAATCAGACATTAAAACCGCAAAGTGTCAAGTGATTTTCGACCCAGGTCTGCAAGACGTGCTGGGCTACATAGACACAAAACTATTCGTAGACGTCAAACTCTGGCTTGGGTTTTCATAATTCATGTCTTCTTACATGCTGCACGTATTAGCCCAAGGGTATTGTGGTTTTAAGCGCCATTGGAAGTAGGCTCAGTTGTTTCAAGAAGCATGGCCCTGGAACAGGTTATGCTCACCTTCCAACCAGATTGATAAGCATTACAGGCAATCAACTCAATTTCATACATTGCTTAAAAGCTAAAATCAGAGCAATGGCCTCGCCACCAGCGAGCCCTTCGAAAGCCATCAGGCATTCGAAGATTTGCAAACATCGTGTCATTATTGTAGCTTTCTCTCTCGAGCGATATCCTTTGCTCCGCCGTCTACGCTGGTGCTTATTGCGCCAATGTTTTCATCAAGTAAGGGAATTTTGTCCAAACTGGTGGTGCGACCCATATCTGCGCCAGGTCTCGACACTCCATTCGGTGATCGCCCACTATGGAAGTCGGACATCACAGTACCTGGCCCTGGGTCCAACGACTGCGATTCCTGTCCAGCCGCCGACGCTGAGACAATGTCGGGATGAGGTGTCAACAGCGGCGACTGCAACATGAGGTCTGGAGTGTTTTGCCACTTCAGCACCTCGGCCTTCATTGCCTCCAGTTCCTTCTGAAACCGCTTGCCAAAGACATCAATGTAATATGTTGAACCATTATAAATGCTCCACGCAAAAACAACAAGCAGAAATGCGGAAGAGGCGAATCGACTGTTGAACCAGAGTGGGCACGGTAGCATTGTCAATGCTGCGTAGCTATACTGTATCATCATAAAAGCTGGCTCTTGAAGAGGTTGGGGGAGAGAAAGAACGAGTTTTCCAATCCAGGTTTTGGAATAAGATCGTCGAAGCCAGGTGAAGGATGTGGGTCGGCCAGCCGCGATTTTGTCTCTGCGACGAACAGTAATGAAGAAGTAGTAGCTCAGCTGCCAAAAAGCGTAAGGAATCGTGCTCCATGCAAGCATGGAAATAACATTGGCGTAGGCAGTGGAAGAACCAGGAGCCGAGTTTTTAATAGCCCAGATGGCGGGGAACCTCGATTCTTGGTCCTCGGGAGAGTACAAATGGACGAGACAGTGAAGTGTAGCACACGGCATTATATGGATAAAAAGGGATGTGACCTTGTCAAAGCTGTGGAATACGAGGGAATTACGCCACATGATGATTGCCACAGCATTATTACCGAAGGCCAGACAATAAGTTGCGGTGAGAAGCCGCTTGGAGTTGGGGAAGATCCAAATACTGAGAAAAAGTAGCATGTTGACGAAGTAGCAAAGATCCGCGAGAAAGTAGTGGTACCCGCGGCGGTGATACGTGAAAAACCGAATTGGCATAAAATAGACCAGCTGAGCTGTGTACCATAGGTGGAAATACTGAGGATACCCGCCAATTAGGTATCCACTGATGAAGATATTCATAACACCACATATGAAGGATATCTTTTCGCGTAAGGTGATTGCTTTTGTGTCATTCCATTGTCTGCCCAGTTTCTCGACGCGCTGTCGCATCCTTTTCCTGTATCGATCAAACTGTTCATCGGCTGAGGGGACGCGACGCCGCCATTCCTCCACCATCCGGTCACGGGCGAGCTGCGTTCTCGACTTGAGTGCATCTTTGGATCGGCGGACCTTGTCAGTCTGTGCTGAGATGCCCTTTTGAAGTTTCTCCAGTTGTTGAGGTAGGGCGAGATTGTCAAGGAGATCAAGCACAGTCAATCGGTCCAACGGCGGTAGAGGGTCCCAGTCGTCGTGATGTGAGCTACTGCCAGAGAAGGAGGGATTCCTAGATAGACGGGGGCTCATAGGTGTAGTCGCATCCAAGCTTGGGGACTCTAGGATTATAGTATCGGGGGGAGAAGAGCTGAGAGGGGGTATAGCGTCGTTGTGAGTGTCAATGCTGGAAAACTGGGCAGGGACAGGTTCATCGTCCATTTCCAAAAAATCTGGGAGTCAAGACAATCATGTCAGCAATGATTCATCGCATCGTTCTGCCGAAGCCAGCCGCCGCAGACAGCAGAGCCCAAAGGAGTGCCAAATGATTAACACCATTTATTGTTCGAACCCGTCGCTTTCGAAGTAGGGTTTGAGCCAGGGAGACCTGAAGAACTCCAGGAACATGCGCGGCAACGACTGAAAGGAACAAAACATACCTGTAATCACCAAAAATAGTTAACGCGTAGCAGTTGCTTATTGTGATCCGATGAGGGGAGATGATGATGGCGTAACATCACCGCATGAAGCGGTCAGTGCCAGTTCCAAATGTACAATAGTCACGTTGACTTGTGACCTCCGGTTCCGTATCTAGCGGGATGAGGGATTCATTGTTCCCTGCTACGAGTGACAGACACGTGCAATAGGTGTCTGTCTTGTAGGGCCGTGCTGTACGGAGTTGGCTAACATGACTGGTCATATCAAACAGTCGTGTGGAGCACTGGTGCCCCGTTCGGAATGTTGGTAGTTACCAGGATGATAACTTGGGGTCAAACTTTAGAGCGCAGAACAAGTACATCGACTAACTAAAGTAACTGCAATCCACCAGGGACCTTGGTAGGTAGAATTCACAAGTAAGAAAATAAAATGGAATAGACAAGTGATCAAGACGCAGTGGGCATCAGGTAACTTATGGGCTTGGCAAGATAACGGCTGGCTGCCTAGTACCTACCTAGTACCTAGGTACTTAAGGGTGGTGCGGTTCATGGCTTTGCATTCTGACCAATTATCATCATTGCCTTTCAGCTAAAAGGCAGCATGCAAAGGAATAAATAGCCGTATGACCTCGTCTTGCAGTTGAACTATTCTGCGGCAGCCACATCTAGGTTTGCTTAAGCCCACCTGATTGTCCAGGTGCAGAGATCGCGGACTCTGGTTGGCCCATCCACCAAGTTCTCTATTATCAGCACATTATGATTCCGATAATACCAACCTACCTACCTAGGTACCTTAGCGCGCTAAGGTGTTTTCTGGTAACTGTCCTATAGCTAACATTTATCATAAGACAGTTAATTAAAATTTTTTACTTACTATAAAAGACTTTTAATAGCTGGTGATAATTTAAAACTTATCTTATAATAGTTATGCTGTTACCAAAACCAGGGGCCGCCCGCGTACTAGGGACGTAATTTCAAATGTATATCATCACGTGCCATATCACATGACGTATTTGTTAATTTCCTGTGGCCATTGCTCTAAGCTGCGAACCACAAGAAGTGGGTGCAGGTGTGCACGGAAGTTAGTTACCTGCTCGGAGTTAAGCAGGCGAGTGTCGCGCGACGCGTTCGCCATACTACAGACTTCCCACGCGCATCGTTTTGCCCGCACCTTCAACTTGACTGCCACCGTCTGACTATGAGGAATTGCAGCATCAAGTTAAAAGTTTAGCGCGTGAAATAAACGCTCTTCTCAGGAGCCTACAGGCTGCTGGCGGTCTACCAAGAGCTATCTCGTGGACTGCATCCTTGATCCAGGCATTCGAAAGTTCTCCATCAAGCGCCGCCATTCATATTCTCCTTCGCCTTATAATCCTCGGCTGCGCGCGATTCTACAACCATGGGCAAGCTTATACGGCTAGAACTATTTAGTAGGATCTACACTGCCATTGCCATCACTCAATTACTTGTGGCTACTGACGATCCATACTCCCAGACTTTAAGTCCTACAAAGGACATCACACCCTTCTCTTTGGAGATTCGTACTTCACCTCGATAATCGGGCCAAATGGATCGGGGAAATCCAATTCGTAAGTTGGCGATATCCTATTTCTGTCGAACCACCAAAAAAGTGAACGCTGAATGCTAACATCGCTTCAGTATGGATGCGATATCCTTTGTCCTGGGCATTAAGTCGTCACATTTACGTTCAGCACACTTGAAGGATCTTGTTTATCGTGGCCGCGTCCTCAGAACCTCCAAGATCAATGATGATGGCTCCGCAGACACGCAGGACAATAGCGACGTCGCGACAACGACGGGCGACGACAAAGCTTCCCGAGGCGATCCTAAAACCGCCTGGGTCATGGCAGTGTATGAAGATGATGCTGGCGATGAGCAGCGATGGAAGCGCTCCATAACCAGTTCCGGAGCCAGCGAGTATCGTATCAATGACAGGGTTGTCACGGCACAGCAGTACAATGAAGCACTGGAAACAGAAAATATCCTCATGAAAGCTCGCAACTTCCTCGTATTCCAAGGCGATGTTGAAGCCATAGCTTCTCAGTCTCCCCAAGATCTTACTCGTCTCATTGAGCAAATATCAGGCAGCTTGGAATATAAGACGGAGTACGAGAAACTCCAGGCCGATGCTGAAGAAGCCGCTGAGAACCAGAACTTCCAGCTACACCGCCGTCGCGGGATCAACTCCGAAATCAAGCAGTACCGCGAGCAAAAGAAGGAAGCAGACAGTTTTCAAAAGAAAACTGAAGAAAGAGATGCAGCCATTGTATCACACTGCCTCTGGAAGCTCTATCATTTCCAGAAAGCCATGGATGAGTCTAGTGCTACTATTCAAGACCATCAAGAGGATCTGAAGGAACTCAAACGCAATGTAGAAACTTTTGAGGCACGGTTGGAGGATGCTAGGAGGGATCAGAATACCGCTGGTCGATTAGTGGCTCGAACGGAGAAAGAGATCAAGCTGAGGCAGAGGAACATCGAAGATAAAGAGAACGCTCTGTTGCCTTTTGATGAGAAAGTTCACGAGTCTTCACAGCAGGTTGAGAAGCTCCATGCTCAAAGCCAAAAGGTGGCAAAAGAGCGAGATGAACAAGCTGCCATCGTGGAAAAGGTCCGGAAAGATATTGAAAATGTCAAGAAAGCACAGTCCGTGTTCGAGGAAGACACAAAAGAGCAGATGAGAAAACAAGGGCGAGACATTAGTGACACAGATCGAAAGGAATATAATCTTCTTCGGGCAGAAGTAATGTCTCGCTCTGGGACAAATCAAGCGAAATTGGAAAATCTGGAGCGACAACGCAAAGCAGACGAGGTTACTGTTAATAACCTTCGGGGAAAGCTTGACAGCATCACCGCAGCTATAGAAAAAGCTGAAGCGGAGTTGCAAAATATCGGCGAGCGCAGAAGCTCTACCGAGGCGGCGTCTAAGGAAATTGCCGACGAGATCGCAAGGAAGAAGAAGGAATTTAATCAATTGCAGTCCGAACGTGTAAGAACGAACCAGAAACGGACGGAACTTGAGGAGAAGCTTGAAGATGTAGCTCGAAAGCTGCGTGAAGCCGATGACGGTCGTCGCCAGAATGACCGCGAAACCCGAATGAAGGAGATGGTCACGTCGTTGAAGCGCATGTTCCCCGGTGTGCGAGGCCGCATTGGAGATCTATGCACGCCAAAGCAGAAGAAATACGACGAGGCTGTAATTGTCGCGCTTGGAAAAGATTTCGACTCAGTTGTCGTAGACACCGAGAAGGTTGGTATAGATTGTGTTCAGTACTTGAAAGAGCAGAGATTTCCGCCCATGACTTTCATCCCACTGGATAATATTAAGGTCAATGCCGTCAATACAGCTATTAAAGGATTCTCTGGCGCGAGGCTGACAATCGATACTATCAATTTCGACACATCAGTTGAGAGAGCGGTGTCATACGCTTGCGGCAGTTCCGTGGTATGTGATTCCCTGAGCATTGCAAAGCATATATGCTACGATAAAAAGATACCGGTGAAAGCCGTTACTCTTGAAGGATATATTATTCATAAAGCTGGATTGATGACTGGAGGTCGTGGCCCCGAACCCAAAGGAGGCAAGCGGAAATTCGAAGAAATCGACGTGCAGAATCTTCAGCGAATGGCAATGAAACTCAAGGACGAAATAGACCGGCTCCCAAAATCTGATCGACGTGGAACGCAAGAGGAATCGCTGCAAATTGATCTTGCTGGATTAGAACGACGTTTGGTCTCAATGAAAGAAGAACTTGCGGCCTTCGGTAAGAATTGGACGAGCAAAAAGCGAGAGCTTGACGGGTTTAAAAAGGAATTGAGAGACCTTGAACCGAAGTACAAAGAACAGTTGTCGCAGTTGGAAACCGATAATGCCACCCTCAGTGAGTTTAGGGCGGCGATTGCCCGCGTAGAAGATGAAGTATTCGCCAACTTCTGCAGGAGGCTTGGCTACAGCGACATCAGAGCATACGACGCCTCTCAAGGGAAATTGGAGCAAGAGGTATCAGAAAAAAGGAACCAGTTTGAGGTGCAAAAGCAGCGGTTGGAGAACCGTCTTAAATGGGAGATGACCAGGCATGGGGACACGGAAACGCGGATCCGACGAATGCAAGAGCACATCCGACGTTTGAAGCAGGATATCAAGACATACTCGAAGGAGAAGGCCGACATCGAACAAGCCATTCGTCGGGACCAAGATGAACTTGAGGCCTTGCAAGACACCCTGGAGCAGCAAAAGGCTGATCTCGCAGACAAGAACCAAAAAGTGAGCGAGGCAAGGACTGAGCTGCAAAAACGGAGCAAGGATATTGAGGCACGGCAGCGTGACATCAACACTCTAGAAACAATAGTGCAAAAGAATAGTGCCAGCAAGTCTGCACTGCTGCGGAGATGTCGGCTTGAACAAATTCAGATCCCCCTAGTTGAAGGCACATTGGACAATCTTCCGAACGAGGACGATCTGCTTCGACAGGATCCTGATGCAATGGATGTCGATGATGACGAGGAAGACATGATGGACATTGCCCTCGACGACCATGGCATCGCCATCAATTTCGAGGGCCTGGACGATGACCTGAAGGAGGTAATATCCCAAGTTTCTTCCAGCCAAGTGCTAACCGCAAAGAATATATTACTAACTTTGGTAGTCCGATGACCCTGGAGTCGAGGAAAAGTTGACGGAAAGAATTTCTCTGCTAGCCTCGGAACTCGAAAAGTTGAACCCGAATATGCGAGCCATGGAACGCCTTGAAAGTGTCGAATCAAGGTTAAAACAAACGGACCAGGAGTATGAAGACTCCAAGACGACCGCACAGGCCGCGAAGGATGCGTTTGCCAAGATTAAACAGAAGCGATACGACCGTTTCAACAAGGCTTTCACCCACATCCAAGAGCAAATATCTCACGTGTACAAGGATCTCACACGATCTGAGGCGTATCCGCTAGGTGGCCAGGCGTATCTCGACATTGAAGAGGACACAGACATGCCTTACCTCTCCGGTATCAAGTACCATGCCATGCCACCCCTGAAGCGCTTCAGAGATATGGAGCACTTGTCCGGCGGAGAAAAGACCATGGCTGCACTGGCATTGCTCTTCGCCATTCATAGCTACCAGCCAAGTCCTTTCTTTGTATTGGACGAGGTAGATGCTGCACTTGACAACGCAAATGTCGACAAGATTAAGAAGTATATCCGCGAGCACGCCGGGCCTGGAATGCAGTTTATAGTTATCAGCCTGAAGACGGGACTTTTCCAAGATTCGGAAAGTCTTGTCGGCGTATATCGAGACCAGGAGGTGAATAGTTCAAGAACTTTGACCTTGGATGTGAGTCGAGTTTTCCTAAGCACTACTTTACTTGAACTAATACCCTGTTTTCAGCTGAGAAAGTATGCCTGATGATTTCAATCCCTGGTTCGGGACTCTGCTTCGAGGACTCGAAGTTAATGAAGCGTGGAAGACCGGATATGTGAGCCCAATAAAAACATGTGATGTATTGATTGGTACTTTAGGCTAAAAGCCCGGTGAGTTACTGCTACATTAGGGAATGTAAAATGTTTGCTACGAGCTTGATGACGGACAAGATGAGTCAAACGGATGGTCGAGTTTGAGTGGATGGATGTGTTGTATATATAAGGCAATGTGCAAATTTGATAGTTCCACCATCTCCAGGGCAATTTGCACCTTGCGACGGTTATTTCAAGGGCCCTGAGTCATGTGGCCTCCCAAGACTCAAGGTAGGTAGGTAGATATCAACTGGGCTTCCTCACGTTTGTAGGAGCTCATCAGGTGGCATCTGAGACCTACCATGGCCGAAGCCGCACATTCGCTGGTAGAAAGCTGTGCACGGACCACCGTAAATAAAAGAAGGGACCAGACAGACATCCGTCACTTTGGCTAGCCTAAGGTACCTAGGTAGGTACCTGTCACATAGTACCGCCAATCCAGGGTAGCAGGGAGGATATTAAAACTTTCCACCAGACCGACCACATGCGCACACGGAGGTAGGTATCCAGCCGTCCTTTTCCAGCGTCGCATCTTTGTTTGTTTGTTTGTATGTACGTACAGACAGGATCTTGATCTCTTGCACAAACACCTCTGGTGAATCAGTCCATTCAAGGTGACCCTTGGATTCATATTATCACCGACACGAACACAAAGGCCCTTGGTCTGCGCGGCGCGCCGTTAATGGTTCGAAGTGGCGCGCTTCGTGGCATCGCCGAACCTTACGCTCGACATGCTGCCATAGAGACCCAGAGATGCTGAACTTCACAACACCGTTCCAAATACATCTCCCGCGCCATTCGACCTGGGCGTAACCTGTCCTCACTGCGTATCTTCATCGGCTGCCAGAACGTGTGTCTGCATTCAAGTGGTGATGGGGCAGTAGCGACATCTTCCGCGGAAGACACCGGAAAGACGTTGGTCAAAGATTTAGGGAATACCGACACGATACCGATAAAACCAACCGTCAAAATGGATCTCGCCGTTACTCTCATAAAGTCCGTGTTGAGAGCTTTCTACCCGACACGCGACATATTGGTCATGGATGCCCTGATTCTACACGAAGCGTATGACATTTATACCAGGACCTTGTATGGAAAATGCACCTGCTAATGATGGAATACTTACTTGCTTAATAGCCTCCGCGACGACGATCTGGCATATCTCATGGCTATAAACACGAAAGACCTGCATAAAATATGTGGTAAATTGCGAGAAGATCGCTTCTTGACAGTGTGCGTCTTTCATGTACCTAGTCAGCCAACGACTGGGGTTACCTTCCGCTCTTTACTTTGTTTGTTTGATTGACCGAACCAGACACACAAGATCCGAGCTGCGCGACGGCAACCCTCGGCCAAGTAACCGCACATGGTATTATATCAACTATCGACATACGATCGATGCGATCAAGTGGCGAGTATACACGATCGACAAAGAAGTTCAAGGGGCGCCAGTGCCAGCGAATGAGAAGAAGGAATATTTTTGCAGCTTTTGCAAGGCCGAGTGGACTGCTATGGAAGTTCTTGATAGTGTTGGGCCAAACGGCTTCTTGTGTCATCGATGCCACCATACTCTCACTTTCGAGGCGGACCGAACTTCCACTGGGCATGAGCAGTCCACTCGATTAAATGATCAGTTCAAATTCATAAGCGAGCTTTTACCAAAGATTGATGCAGTTCACATTCCCGAATGCGACTTTGACCGAGCTTTGGCCAAGGCCCGCCCTGTCGTTCGTGATGCTACACATCAGCGGGCAGCTACCATTCCGGTCGAGAGTGGTCTAAACCGCCCTATGGCCGTTAAAGGACTCACCAATACTGGCCCTCAATCTATCGCAGTGAATATTTCAACGTCAGATGGTCCATCCGCTGCAGAGAAGGAAGCCGAAAAGGCCCGAAAGGAAAAGATCGCCCAACAAAATGCGCTTCCCTCGTGGATGTCGAATAGCACTGTAACTGGCGAATCCTTCTCTGGAACACTTAGCGACGGGTTGATTTCGCTAAAACAGGATGACGAAAGCAGCGCCGCATTAAAGGGCAAGAAGGTGGACGCAAACACTTCTGCGAAGATTGATGACATATTCGAAAAGCTCAAGGCTGAGCAAGCTGCAGAAATGGCTAAAGGAATCATACATGGCGGGAATGACGAAGATTTTGACTCGGAAGAGGATGATGGGTATGAAGACGAATTCGAAGACGTTCCCGCAACTGGGAATACATCCGGTCTAGGCACGCCAAGTACCGCGGCCGTCAAGCGTGAGGTTTCTACTATACTGTCACGAGATGGAGATAGTGCGGATGAAAGAGCACCCAAGAAAGTCAAAGTAGATCAAGAAATTAAGAAAGAATCTGAGGGCCTTGAAGGCGACGACGATACTGGGGATGAGGACGAGGATATGGAATTTGAAGATATTTGACAGGGGGGTGGATATGCGGGGCTTAGTTTAGAGCTTTCCGAGGCAGAAATTGGCCGGATGGTCTTTTGATAGCGAACGGAATCATTCCCAATGCTTGATAAATTTTCGTTTTGTGTCCCTAATTCCTGACAGATGACTTGATCTAACAATTCCCGGCCTGGGCTGAACTAGGGGTGCTAAGTACTTAGGCGCCTACCCACGTAGTAGGTATGTCTTGTCAACACCATAAGTTGTTGTCTCTATCGACCGGATCGTGTGTACTCCATCTCTATGGCGAGATGTTTCTTTTTTTTTGCGGGGGTGGAAAGAAGAGGAGAGGGGGTGGGAGGGGGGTTTGCGCCGCCGCGGGGTGCGAACATATGGAGCCCTTCGGATTCGAAGCATAGCTCTTCTCGAGCGTCCCATTTGGCAACGAGGTTCAAACGTTATATTGAAGGTGACGCCACGGAAGTCCAGGTCGCCGCCGCCGCCATGTCTCCCAGCACGACGTCCAAAAGCGCATGCAGGCATACCCCTACCGTCCGGTGCAGTCCAGTAGCACTACTTCCACAGTTCATGCTTCAAACGTTGAACAAAATAAGACAACCCCATAGATCATCTAACAAGGGGTGTGGTGAAAGCGCGCGTCACAGACAAGACATAGCCGGCACCTCCTCCATGCTCTGTAATGGCCAGCAACTTGGGATTTCCACGCATTTACGTCTTACCTAGTCATCTCGAGCCGTCGCAGCTTCACTATCTCGAGGAAGCAGTGCCGTCTCTCACCTACGACATCAATGAAGCGGACCTCGTGCTAGGTAAAATATCGAAACGGGAGCGTGCTGAATTCGAATTAAGGCGGCATAAATTGAGGATTCGACCAGACTCAGGCTCAGGCTCAGGCGGAGATCCTGATTCTACCGTGCGCGCCATTGCACCTGTAAGACGCGTAGTTGTTGAAGAGCATCCCGGTCCGAAACGTCGAAAAATAGGAGACGCTCAACATCCAGATTATCGGACAGCGCAGAATGGTAGGGTTCAGGTTCTTAAATTGTCGTGGTTGACCGATTGTCTTGCCCAAGGCAGGCTTCTTCCAGTTGACAATTACCTCTTGTATGAAGGCTTCAAAATCTCGTCAGACGTCGACTCCGGCGGAGAAAAACCTGAGACGCAGAATATCTCCAGTGGTGCAATTCTTCGCCGTGCCGCTGAGGACCATGCAATGAATACCGCAAATCGGGCGGCATCGTCACCCTTGCCTTTCAATGTTCATGATTCACGCCATAGTAGACACCCGCCACCAACATTGGAACGACAGACGACCTCCGAACATGACACCAAGCTTCCTGCGATTCCGGAATACCTTCACACAACATATTCCTGCCAGCGGCCAACACCTTTGCATCCTCCAAACGAAAAGTTCATCCTGGAGCTCAAAAAAATCCGAACCCTCAGACTTCTTCAGGGCAATCAGATCGGGGTACGGGCATACTCGACATCGATTGCCGCCTTGTCAGCGTACCCGTACGTGATCCAAAGTTCTCATGGCAAGTAATACGATATCTTGAGGGGCAATGTAATCGACCGCATTACATTACGCCTGTATTTATTGGAAAGAGGCTAATCGAAATGGACTTCGCAACAGACATTGAGCGATTGCCCGGCTGTAGCACTAAGATTGCTGAGCTGTACCAAGAATGGTTGAAGGATGGTGAAACCAAAGAGACGGCTGCAGCAGCATCAGACGCAAAGATGTCTACCTTGATGCTGTTTTACGACATATGGGGTGTAGGCGATACTACGGCTAGGGAATTCTATAAGAAAGGTAAGATTGTGACCAGGTATCCGCAATTTATATGCAGCAACAAATAAAGTTTAAAAGATTCAAATATTGACTTTGTAATCTCCAAAAAAAAAAAAGGATGGAAGGATCTAGACGATCTTGTGGAATACGGCTGGTCGTCTCTCACTCGGGTCCAGCAAATAGGGGTCAAATTCTATGACGAGTTTCAACAAATGATCCCCCGACAAGAAGTTGAAGAAATCGCACGTCTCGTCCTTGAACACGCGCGCAAGATCGAGGCTGGTTTCCAAATGGCCATAGTGGGAGGTTATAGACGAGGGAAAAAGGAAAGCGGTGACGTGGACGTCATTCTAAGTCATCGAGACGAATCACAAACTATGAATATGATAAATAACCTCGCCGTCAGTCTTGAGCAAGCCCATCTCATAACGCATACGCTCAGTTTATGGACCAAGAATAGTGAACGAGGTCAGCTCCCGCTTGCCTGGCGAGGGGAGGGCGCCAGGCGCGGATCTGGATTTGATACACTTGATAAAGCCATGGTCGTGTGGCAAGATAAAAAAAAATCAGGAAAGGATGCACCACATCGAAGGGTGGACATCATTATCAGCCCGTGGAAAACTGTTGGGTGTGCTTTGCTGGGATGGAGCGGTGGCACAACATTTCAACGAGATCTTCGACGATATTGTAAACAAG